AAAGCCATAATAAATTTCTTTTTCACAGGAATTAAAATATATATATTAGCTGCCAGGATAGGAGTTTATGGCTTAGCTGCCAAATTTACAAAGACATTAGTTAAAATAGTTGCTACCCTTTGGTCACACGTCTGCCTCTTTAGCAGTTGGCATAGACTCAAAAGAGTATCGAATTCAACAGCAAAAACTCAATTATATTTCCATTTGGGTCCAACAGTTGAAGCTTCCCTAGTAATATTGAGTGGGAAAGCGTGAAAAAGGTCATGTTGTGTATAAATGATACATCCATGGTGTTAACCATTTTAGGACCAGAGGAGACTAGACAGGATATAGATTTATTCATAGATCATGTGGGGAAGACCATTTAAAATATTTCCTTGGAGGAAGGGGCAAGGTTTGGGGTCACTTTTAATTTATAGTAGTAGTCTATGAAAGGCAGATTTGGGACATAAGAAAGAGATTGCTGATTTTACTTGTCAAAACAAGAAAAGTAAATGCACATAATGAAATTCTTCATTGGGGGAAAAAGTAAGAAGAATGACTCAGAGTAGAGAGTTGCATATCTCTTAGGTATAAGATTCTGTGAAATAAATTTCAGAGGCTGCACAACTTCAAAGTTCTAGGTTTATGATGAAATTTTATGTTTCAACAATGTAAGATGAGGAACAAATTGCCTTGCCTACCTAAATCAAAAGATGATTGTCAGGCTCTGATGAGAAATGCTTCCTTCCAGAAAGCATTTTCTTTTTTTATTTCTTTTACAGTACTTTTAATTTCCTTTACAATATGACTCAGAATTTTTATTTAATCAACAAATACTCGTTGAGGGGCTTCTAATGTGGCAGGTATTGTCCTAAGTGCTTGATACATGAACAAACAGACAAAAACCTCATTTTCATTGAGTTTACTTTCTGTTTGGAGAAATCAGGCAACAACAACAACAACAAAACACTAAATAAGTAAATAATATAGGTGATAAGTGCTAAGGAGAAAAGGAACAGAGCAGTATAAGGGGAAGATACAGCACCATAGTAATGCTTTAGAGAAAGCCGTTTTTTCTATAAAACCACAAAGGATATACAGAGAGAGCATTTATCCACCAGTGCAAATGAATGAGACAGGTAATTAGAAAGCATCCCAAGCAAGGGTTGCTGGCATTGTAACCTAACCCAGGAGACAACAAGGCCATTTCCGCCAAAGCAGTGAAAAACATTTTCAGCAGTATTTTTTTTTTTTTTGGCAGTACATATTGTCTGAAATATATATGTAAAAATACTGTGTCCATCAATAGGCATTTTAAAACTGTAATGATTCAGGAAACTCAGTAAGAAATAAAATCTTTCAGCAAAGCCAATTTATCCATCGAGATTTGTTCCTTCTTTCCAAAGATTTTCCAAATAGTCCCCCTTGAGGATGATGCTTCACTATCAATGAGTTGAAATATTTAATGAGGTGAAATGAGTTATTATATGTAAAAAAAAAACTTGGTATGTAGTAACTATATATGTATGTACAAGTATTTATTAAATTAAAAAAATTTTAATGATCATGACTATATCCCAAACCTGATTGGGGATTACTGATTGAATAATTAATGAGCCAGCCAATAAGAAAATAAAGTGCCCGGTTTTTTGAGAATTAGGTAACAATTTCACAAATTAATTGCAGTTACCTTGATAACACTGTTCTTTATGATATAGACATAAGTAATATGTACATATCCTTATATGTTTCAGGGTTTATCCTATAGTTTGTGAATATTTAAAGTTCCTGTTATCCTTTGTTTTCTTCAGTTTCACTGCTTACTATAGTACCATTTCCATCAGAAAGTGTGAGTTGTGGGAGGAGGGGCAATGAAAGCTGGTAAACATCTTTTGTCAGTTTGGCTCTTAAGAGGGGAAGTCAAAACAGCTAGGTAAAATTAGGTTTGAGGTGTTTTCATCTGTGCTATTCCTGGCCCTTGTCACCACAATCAGGAACACACACCCATAAGTCACTAAAATTTCTGGTTTCAAGAATTTCTGAGAAATCAAAATAAGTATATTTTATTTGAAAATCAATAACAATTGCTTCTTTTAGAAAGTGTTCCTGCAAGCAGCTAAGGAGAAATATTAGGTGATCATTAGAACTCTGACAGTTACTTCTCTATGCAAACAAAAATGGAAGAAACATCACCCCCCAGACAGGACTGGAAGCCACATTTATGTTCCCTTTGCACCTCTTTACATCGCTATTTTAGTAATTTCCATGTTGTATTTAATTATTTACCAGTCAGTCCTCCCCTTGACTGAAAACTTTCTGAAGGTAGAATTGCCTTTCATTTTTGTAGCCTTGTGTTCCTAGTATCCGTAAGACACTATTCATGAGTGAAAGAATAAATAAATAAAAGACTCTGAAATTTAGATGAGTTAATCAGATCTCTCTCTTACGTACTGTAAGTCCACCAAAAGCAGGTTGGTAAAGTCACTTGTTTGGGACAACCCAGCTCCCTTAATTTCAAGAAACTCTGAATAAAAACATACCCATCGCTTTTTACATCTCTATTATCTAATTCAATCTGAGAGTATCAAACCATTGTATTCACCACTGTATCTTAGTGTAAGCGGCCTTTCCAGTAAACTGAAAGCTAGAATAGGCTATCTTGCCAGCACATACCAATGCAAACTCATTAAAAGCTCCAAACACCATTGGAGACGTTCCCTTTGGTAAAGTTAGACTAAATAACTTATCCTATGTGATTATAATAATTGAATATTCTGAGTAATGATTATTCAGAGACTCAAATACATTCTTGATGAAAAATGATCAAACACAGTGCTCTATTTTTAACTTAGGCCTTCAGAGGGTTTATTATTTCAAAATCAAATCTATTAAACCTTGTGAATACATTATTCCTCATTAAGATTCCTTTTGAATTCATATGACATGTTAAAGGCAGTGTATCAGTAAATAATTTATAAGTAAAAATCATTTTATAATATTTATCCTGGAAATTAAAGTGAATAGAACATAAAAAAAGAATGAAAAGAAGATGCAAATAACTGATAGGGAGGGTAAGACTACACAGGCGATTCTCAAGGTTAATTTTGGCACTCCTGGAACACTCTTATCATCTAAATAATCTTACTAGATATTTTATGAAGTACACTAGTTAACAAGTCAAATCATTTCATAAGGCATTACTGTGATTAAAAATACTTTAAAAAGGCAAAACAATTATGTTTCCTTTGTTTAATCAATATAGAACTGTATAAAATAAGGTTATATGAACTTGCTCTTGGTAATCCATAAACCATTATAAAATATAAAGCATTATTATTACACTATTGCATGTGTAAAACATTTTGCCTAATAATCAACTTTTCATTTGTGGTGGCTCTGTGCAAAATTCCTGCTACCACAAAATAACATTAGGACAAGATGGTGGTTTTCAAGCAGTTTTGTTTGTTGGCAACAAGGATAGTTCCTTTGATACAAAATTCTCAAATAAATCCATCACTTCAGAAAGAGTTGGAGGAAATATCTACATTGCTTTTGGACCAGGAAAAGAGAAATGGCTATTTTAAGTTTGAGGAGGCAGTAAAAATAGTATTGGAAGCTAATGTAATTAGTTAGAAAACTAAGCAAACAAATACGGTTGATTGTCCTTGAGCTATCTGCCCCCACAACAGAAAAACTTTTAACATGCTCTTAGTCACTGATCCTCATAAAACATTAGCCAATGGTTAGCAAGTAGATCATTAAATCTTTTTAGGCTGATTATCTGGTTTTTATTAGATCCAATCCATTTTTTTGAAGGTGCTAGATAAAACTAATTGACCTACCTTAGACAACTATTAAATGAGCTTACCCTCAGCCCACAACAGCTTAAAAATTGAAATAGGTTATGTCCATTCCAATTCTAACTATTCTTTTTATAGTTTCACTCAGTGAAATCAAGAATTAAAAATATATGCTATGATTGCTTAACCTAAGCAACATAATCCCAGAAAATAGAGAAATTTGAAAAATTCAATTATTCACAAAATTGCACATTCATAGCGTTTATTTAGCAAAAATATTTTATCTGCTACTTCACATCATATATATGCAATATTAAGTAATCGTTGCAATATGTAACCAAATGTAATTAGCAAAAATGTTTTATGTGGCCACTTCGTATTATGTATACACAGCAATAAATAATCATTGCAAAAGTCATCAAATATAAGCTTTTCTCTGATTTTAATCAAATTTATATGATAACTTTTTAAAAAACAGAATACAGCATTTTCTTTTTACTATTTCTTCTTATTAAATGCTAGGGAGCACAATTACCATTCAAACAATCACACTGATATATTTTCAAAGTTTTTACTGACATATAAAAAAATTTCAAATTTACATCTATTTCTTTTCCTACCCTAGGTTTCAACAATCATATCACGATTTTCTGAAATATCCAGAGTTCATTTTGTTCCATTTTTCTCTAGTTACAAATATACCTCTGCTTAAATTTGTACCCATCTTATTTTAGCTGTATTTGAAAAAAATCTTAATACTATTTTTTCCCCAAAAAGTGGCAGTAAGTTATTTGTGTAAAACAGTTGTGATGGAGGGAATTCAAGCATTTTTAACGTGGTAAATGTTACTTTCTTTACAAAATAATTCCAGGATGTAAACTATACTTAAAACTGTTGTGAAAGAAACTTTCAAAGAGCAAAATCATATGATGAGGTTTTTGTAAACTCGGTGTTTGAAAGCTAGACTACAGATTTTAAACATTTCTTTTCATTTTTTCATTTCATTACTATACGCTACAATACTTAAGTACTGTGAGTAAGATTGCTATACTATGTAACAGTCGACTAAAATTGCAGTCTCACTTTATTAGCTTTTCAGACATAGAAGTTCAGCCTATGCAGCATGTATCCAAAACAAATAGGCCTTTCCTGTAACCATTAGCTGACAGAATTTTCAAAAATTCAAAAAGGAAAAGTAGTTTGTAATTAAATACTCACCTTTTGGTGTCTTGAAATATTCCGGCAAAGTTAAAATGAACATGATCACTATTGCCAAAAGTAATTTAAGGAGGGCTGTTTTTGTCATTTTCTATTCACATGATACACGTGTTCCCATCAAGTACACTGATGGCATGTTTCTTCCTGGTTTAAGTTTCATCTCTGCGGTACTTTAAGTTTATGCAGTTTACCTCATACTCACTTCCTCTTGGGTAAGGCTTTATAAAAAGTAAGCCTTGAACTGAGATGTCTTCATTTTGAGTTACTTTCCACTAAGAAAGTGATCTTCTATCTAAGCACTTTCGGACTGTCTTCTAAACAAGAAAGAATAAAGAAATGATTTCAGTAAGTAAAGGAGTCTTGTCTTCATCTAGATTTGAAGCCATTTTCCTATACGTACCAACCTGTGTGAGTAAATGCAAACCCATGATACACTCACCAAAAATGAAAGGATAAATGTCAGTTATGTCCAGGTTGTAAGGACATCATTCACTGATTTACTTATTAAGTGACTGCTGACCCCCTTTTAAGTGCCAGGCACAGTCCTGGATTCTGGTGTTCAGAAAACAGTACGTCTAGAAGATAGCAAACAGTACACAATGTCAGGATAAACTAGAGACACATGTAAAATTTTGGTTCTACTTTGCTACATTGTATAAAAGCAGAAGAATGGGACTCATCATTCTACCTATAAACACTGTGATTATTGTTACAGACTCCACATTTTCAGTTCCCATTTCAAAAAACAAAAATCTTTCATTGTGGTAATCCCAGTGAAATAAACTGCATTGTCTTAGAATACAAATGAAGGATAGGCAAAATTCATGGTGAATAAAGAATATGTGCAAACAAATATTTTTATTCTCTTGTTCTTGTATTCTGGTTTAAAAAAAATGGTACTAGATATTAGCAAACATTTTCTCCCTGCTCACTCCCTCTTGTACCCCTACCACCCATCCCATTCCATTTACCCTATTTCTTGTTCTTACCCACCCAGCCTGGGCTTTATGGAATGATGGGTGAGCCAGCACTAAGAAGCAGGGAACAAAGGTGAATATGAATTAACTGTCTTTTCTTCTGATTGGCTGCAACAGTTTGATGAACAAATGGAATCATGGGATAAGAGACCTTATGACCTGAGTGTAAGAACAGTTAAAACGGGAGTAGGACTTCAAACACAAGACTTATTTTATGAACAGCATCAAGGAACATTCAAAAGAAGAGGGGAATTGATGAGAGTCATGGCCCACGCCAAGTACTGCACTGAGACACACTGAATTACAGGTCAGGCAATGTCTTCCGTAGAGATGCTGGTAGGGACGGGTGGGAAATCCTGTTCCTTAATTCTTCCCTGATCTTACAGGTGTCACTAAATGGTCAATGGACACTCTACTCCCCATTTTGACCCCGTTTTGATTCCCTCAGACATTCTCTTACTTATGAATACAAACACTCCAATCATAACTTTACCAATGGAGATGAAATTGTTTAAGAAAGTATTTACTTGATATAACACCATTAAGTCAGTTTAGTTCCTGGTTGAATTTTCCTATAAAGGCAGTTAAACCACTTCTATACTTTTCCTCTTTAATTTTGATTTTACTGAAACTAGTTTTGTTAGAATCTGTTCTTTTCTGTGAATGACAGTGCTTTGATTCATTTATTAATTCTTTTGTCCATATTGCATTTTATGGATTTGTGAGGGTTTTGTGTGTGTGTGATTGTACTTGTAGATCTTCCGTCTTCCTCCCCACCTCCATCCCTCCTTCCCTCATATGAGCTCAGGCTGGTATTCCTATTCTTGAGCACCTGGAAGACAAACTTCCCTGGCAGTTCCATGGGTTCTTTGTCATTGTTGGGCTGTTTCACGTTCTCTGCAGCTGACTTCTCTGGTGCTGTACAGATGGTGGACATCAAGAGACCAGTCCAGGGTCCCTAAGTCCCAGGACACTGCCTGACTGCTCTGAGGACACAGGGATCAGTATCTCATATCTAGTGGTGACCACTAGCTGGACACCAATGTGTCTCTCTGATTTAGCAAATCATAAGAAAATCATGATATGCTCTCAGATATTTCATGAACCTTTTATTCCCCTCAATTGTTCTACTATATTTTAATCTAATTGTTATAAATACTTTTGATCATTCTACCTACAGTGACTAACTGCTGAAAGTGTTAGAAGAACAATAGCCAGTGACAAGTTCCAAATATCCCCTGGGCCAAATCCTCCAAGATTCAGTAACAAGGGTAAAAAGGGTTGAAGCATCTTGCTTTTTCTGACTGTCATAATTTATCCACTAAAATATTGCATTATTGAAAATTGCCACATAGAGTATGTCATTAAATATTTGCATTTCAAAGACCAGCAATCACTAAAATTTAAGAATTAAGCTGCAGTTTCTTGTAGGCAGTGCCTTAGAATAAATAAATATGGGTTGTGCTAACTCTTGATTTTATTTAACTTTTAATTTTATTTTGAAGATAGAACTGAAGCAACAGAAAAGTTGGAAACAAACAAATCTGGAACAGACAAGCATATAGTGGTAACGTAAGAAACTTTAACAATGTTATTTGTGGCTTGGATTTATACACTGTGAAGGACAGAGTTGTGGCAAGCTCTAAATCTTTAAGTGTGTGACTCTGAATTATTGTTAGAATTTAATGTGGATATTTACCCTAAGGAACTATGAAGCCCTGAGTTACTCCCAGAGCTCAAGAAATGGGTAATGGTTCTCCTCTCTGCCTGATATTCTTCTTTAGATAATATTCTTTAGATTCCTCCCTTGCATCTGTGCTCAGTTTTCTTTTGTATTTCTGGACCACACCTCTCTGTCAGCCAAATGTGAAAACTCTGCAGAATAAGTTATTTCTAAGGACTTTATTTGATTTTTAATAGCCCACAGATCAAAATTTATTTAACTGTACTCCAATTATGTCTTTAAAATTTTTTTGATATATCATTACAGTGTGAATAGTCACATGTATAAATGTGTGCAAGTCTGATTATAGGGTAGGATTATGAAGACCAATAGCATAAAGATTTTTGAAGTTCTTAATTCAGCAGCTGTGTCCCAGAAAAGCTGTGTCAACGTACACTCTACCAATGGTAAATGAGCATGTCCATGTAGCACCAAACTTTGACACTGGCCTTTTGTTCTTTAAACCTTTGTCAGTTTGAAAGGAAAAAAAAAAACTTGTTTTAATATGCATTTCTTTGGTTGCCAGTAAATCAGAACATTTTTGATATTTGCTGGCAATTTGAATTTCTTCTCTTGTGAATTGCCTCTTCGTGTCTTTCACTGGAGCACTCATATCCTTGTCACTGCTTTACAGGCCTCTTTTCTCTAGTGGGAACATGGATCCTTTGCCATGTATATTGCAAACACTTTTCCCAGACTGTTCGTTTCCCTTCTATGGATGATTTTTTCTCCCTCAACTAGTTTGTGACAATTTCCAAAACATCTTCACAAACATCAAACTATTAAAGGAGCATGACTACAAACCTGCAATTACTCATCAACTGTGGGCTTCTCCCTCCTACCTCAATGAAGGAATAAGACATTAATACATGTAAAACAGAAGAGAAGGTTGATACCACACTAGTGTTTAACTTTCCTAAGTCTTATAGTTCATTTTTGATACTCAGGTTCTCAAAATGCTTTAATGTATCTACACTTCTGATCAACTGATAATCTTAATTAAATAACTGTACATTGTGTGCTAGATACTTTTTTTTAATGAGAAACCCCCTTATTTCAAGGGACTGCTCTACCAGGAAAGTAAGTGCAACATACTTTTTAAAAATAATAATAAGTAACCTTAAAAATGATGGTTTGGGTTTAATGTCTATGTGGTTATCTTTTATGTGAAATATACACTTGTTGTAATACTTTATATGAGCAATATTTTTTCTATTTTTTCCCTTGCTGAATCTACCCCCCAACCCCCTCACTATGTTCTGTGGAAAAAATCTTTCGAGGTGAACAAAAACAGTAGCAATGATCAACGACATGTATTGAATGTTTACTATCTGCTCCTGTACATTGTTGACCTAAAACAATTAGATTGCCAATTATTTCTCCAGGAAAAAAAAAAAAGAATGTATTCTGGATCAGCAAAGAATTGCAATTCAGAGTCTGCCACCATGGTGAGCCACATGCAGGTCTCTTTTATAGAGGCAAGAAAGAAAGGTGAAAGGGCTGTAGCAAACAAAGAGTCCATGGCTTTTCATTGGCTGGGTTGTGGCAGCCTCTCATTGGCTGAGCGCCTGCCCAGCCCAGAACAGGGTCTTTCTTCTCCCTGTTGGGCTTTGCTCTTGTTGTAGGGTGTGGGAACTCCCCTTCCAGCCTCCCAATTCTATTTAATTGAGGTTTCTGTTTATTCATTTTTTACAAAGTTATTGGATGTTTTATGTGGATTATTTTATTCAATCCCCCAGCAACTTTCTGAGGGAGTTTCTATTGTTATTCCACTTTTATAGGCAAAGAGTATGAGCTATAGAGAAGTCAAGTAATGTGCTTAAATTCACATCGTGAGTAAACAGTAAAGCTAAGCTTGAAACCCACAGTCTGACTGCAGACTTAATGCTCTCAACCATTGTGCTATACCCCCAGTTTCAGACTGCATGAGAACACTTGTCTGTCAGCAAGGGTCCCTTATAAAATAATAATAATAGCAAACACAAACATAGCCCTTTCTGTGTGCCAGACACTTCTCTAGTCCAGGGTTTCCCATGGGTGGCACTACCAACAATTTGGGCTGGATAATTCTTTGTCGGGGAGTGGAGGGGCTGTCCTGTGTGCTGTAGGACGTTTAGCAGCAGATGCCTGTAGCAACCCTCCCCACCCCGTTTTGATAACAACAACAAAAAATGTCTCCAGACAATTCCAGATGTCTCTGGGGTGGGCAAAACTGCTCCCAGGTGAGAACTACTGTGCTAAACACTTCACTTACATTAAGTCATTTAATCCTCACAACAACCCTATGAAATAGTTACTATTATTTCCATTTTACTGACTTCAGACCAGTTCTATTCTGGGTAATCTAACATCCAGCAAGTGAATGTAAAACACAATTCATAATCTGGATCAGCCTAATTAAGTCTGATTGTATTACCTGTGGATAAGCCATCTACTTTGGCAACACACCAATGCTTGGATTAACACATTTTGTTGGGGGAAATAAGCTTCTATTAATGAGGTCT